CATCTATAAAAGCATTAAAAACAATCTCTATAGAACTTGGAGAGGTAAGTTCAGGTAATACTATGGAGTATTTTTATAAAATTTTTAAAAAAGAGGATTGTTTTTATAGATCACCAGTAACACGTTAATGCAGCTTGCCAGTTATTAACAGAGTGGATCAAACAATTTACCCATATTTTATTTAGTGGAAAAATAATTTTTGTAGGCTTTTTATCAGTAAGAGATTATTTTTATGAGCTTCCGCCTCAGTAACTACATTATCTAATAAGCTAACAACCCGTTCTGTTTTAGGTGTTACATTTTTATAGAATTTAACCAAGAATTTTCAGAAAGCAACTTAAAGAGCAGAGCCAAATTGTCAGTAATGACAAGCGCATACCCAATAATAGTTTAAAATTATTAATTTTGTTCTTTTAGTTCATTTACTATGAAAATTAAATATTCATTTAAACATTAACTGGACAATCGAGAGAAGAGAACATCCTCTATACAATGAATGACTAATACCTGAAATTTAGAGAGCATTGACTTTACACCTTTACTATAATTGTTTTTTACTATAAGTTAGGCTTGTTTAAGAATTTTTCTTTCTCCCATGAAGGGACCATTGATAATGAGTTATTCCCACTATTATGGAAAAATAAAAAAAAACCACATTTCTCATGGAGGGATCTTAAATATTGTCATTGCCATTCTGAGGGGGGAAAAGACATTTACACCAAAGTTAAGCAAACAGACTACAAAGTTCTAACCCCTGGGCTGGCAGTGCATGTTCAGACTGCAGCAGTGAGGCCCTGACCTAGGAAAAACAGTTATTAAGTAAGGATTACGGTTAGAGTATCCAGTCCATTTGTATTTAGCAAAATTAGAGAAAATACTCAATTATCTATCTTATCTTGGTGAGTCTAAAGTTTTATATCTACTTTACCTTTTTATCATAATTAAGAAAAATTATAACTATTTAATCTTCAACTCCATCAAAGACCCCAGAAGGATGAAATGTTACCTAGTGAGAGGAACATCAGGCTGCCTGGACAGTCACCCAAAGTTCCTCTGTAATGTTGGGACATCCAACTCTGGTCTATAGGCCTAGCATATCTGACAGATTTTTCTGTGAAGCAGGGGATTCTGAAGGACTGTCCTATCTTGTCCTGGCAAAGTTCGGCAGTCTCCTTTCTTGCATTCTGCTGGTCTAGTTTGAACAATAACAGTCAGTAATTGAGGCAAGGGCAGTTTCTTTGTCCACATGGCTAGCTTTTGCCATAAAGAAAACAAACTCCATATGGAGTTTCTTTGATTCCCAACATCTCTGAAGTAATTGGTGCTGCCAGGAGCAGATATAGCTCACTGTCATGAAAAGCCCTAGGTTATTAAATGCCATATTCTGTAGGTCTTTTAAGTGTTTGAAGACCATCTACCTATCTAAATATATCTGTGTATGACCTTGAAAACATACCTAACATGACTATAAGTTTGACTATTATAGATGACTATTAATCTGTATTTTTTAATTATACATTACTTTTTTTTTTTTTTGAGGCAGAGTTTCTCTGTGTAGTTGTGGTAACTGTCCTGGATCTTGCTTTGTAGACCAGGCTGGTCTTGAACTCACAGAGATCCACCTGGCTCTGCCTCCTGAGTGCTGGGATTAAAGGCATGTGCCACTGCTACCCAGATATACATTACATTTTTAAATGAGCTGCATAAACATAATGCCTTAACAAGAGTAGAAATATGCAAACATTATAACAAATTAACTTTAAATTTGCAAATGTAAAATGTTTAAAACTAATAGGTGCTCTTTGAATTAAAGTAGATTCAATAATATACCCTTTATCCTATCATGTCTATATCCCATTTTCTTTTCAGAAAGAGATCCTTGAGTCTAATCTCCTTTGTTTAGCTTTTTTCCTGACCATTACCAATAACAATTTGTAACCACCCTCCCTTAAATGAAAATAAATATTCATAATCTATTTTTTTTGAATGTGGGCATAGTTTTCTAGACTACTTCCTGTTGACTAGGGACACTGGTAATCTTTGGGTGACCCTGAGAAAATTTAGGATAATTGTTAAGTCTTGGCTATAGTATTCTATGAGGCTGGATCATCTCAGTCAGCAGCTTGGTAGCTGTTCTGGATGCTAGCTCACCTGGATCATCCATTTTCATTGGTGTCTTGTCCCCTTGCTCTGAAAATATATTAACTTTTAAAGGTAACATACATATCCACCTTAATACAAATATAGACTGTGCACTGTACATAAATCAGCCAAAGATGATTTTTTTGTTAAGTGTTCGAGCAGGTAAAACATACATCAGATGTCTTGTAGTTATTTTAGTTTTATTTCTTTATGTCTGTAGTCAGGATTTTGAGGGAGTCTTCCTTGATCAAACCTGATTTTCTTTAATGCAGAAGGAATCCATAGCCTCTCATTTCCTATGAAAATAAAAGCATAACCTCTCTCCCACAGTAACATATCTTTTGACTTAGATTTTGAAGTCAAGATATTTTTTAAATGTATAGATTGGTTGAATCTAGCACTTTTTATAATCCAGTGTCTCTTAGCAGCCAAAACATTCAATGACAATACAATAGCACACAGGATCCAGACTCTCTGTGTATTTTCTGTCTTTATGTGAATTATTATGTTTTTTATTCCTCTATTTCCTCTTTTAAAGACTTTTTCTACCCCTTTTCTTTCTCTCCCATGCTTACATATATTTTTAAACATGCCATAATCTTGCCTAGAGGTTTTTTTCATCTGAGTCTGTCTTTACTGTGTATCTGTAACCTTTTCTGTCTGAATTAGCAAATTCCAAAACTGCCATGCAGTGTGCAGGTGGAGCTTGCACTGGTGGCTTAAGCCTGCAGGCAGCAGCTGGGAGAAGAATCTCTGTACTTCAGCCTGTGTGAGAGACTGCAGGAAGCTGCCATGCTGCTTAGCTCATGGTGGTTGGTGCCTGGCTCCATCTCACAGGCAGCTTTTGGGAGATGAATATCTGTGCTGCAGCTGGCATAAGACTAGGAAGCTGAATTTATCTCTGTTTCTGTGCATTTAGAATCTTTTTTTTTTTTTTTTTTAACTTTCTGAGGTTTTATGTGGAAATTCTTGCCAAACATTTGGGCACCTTATGTAGGCGGATGTTTCTTTCCCAATCCTGGCCACCAGTCCCAATTAACTGACATAGAAGTTTAATATTACTTATAAATGCTCAGCCAATAGCTCAGACTTGTTACTCCCTAATTCTTACATTTAAATTAACCCATATTTCCTATCTATGCTTTGCTACATGGCTTGGTATCTTTTCTTAGTATGGCATGTCCATCTTGTTCTCTCTGCATCTGCCAGTGACTCTCCTAACTCTGCCCTCCTTCTTTCTATTATTCTGTTTGGATTTCCTGCCAAACTTCCTGCCTGGCTACTGGCCTGTCGGCTTTTTATTAACCATGGGCTTCTTAGGGTTGGGACTGAAGATGGAGTATCCAAGCATGCAATGGGCTCACAGACTAAGAAGTCAGTCCTGTCCTCTGCCCTTTCGTTTGACCACACCTGTTCACAGGGCTGGCCCAGACAGACAAGGGAGCCACCTTGGCCTCTCTGAGGGAGGAGCAATTGGGAGGTGCAGCTTCTTCAGGCTACCATGGTGCCTTCCTTTGCCTCTCTCCCTCGCCATGCTCTTCTCTGTTCCCTTTCTTAAAACCTACTCTTCATGTCTTTGGCTCTGAGCAAGGACCAAGTAGACAAAGACTCCTGAACTCAGTAGAGAGAACTTAGGCCTGCCCAGGACCCTCACAGAGAAGACCCAAAGCCACAAAATCCTGGGGCTGACAAGGGTGACACCAGGAGACTCTACTAGGGACATCTTCATCAGCTGGAGACTCCACGAAGATCATACATGTCAGAACCCGTTGGTTACTTGAGGGGTAGGTACCTGGCCCTCCCCCCAGTGGGCCCTGCCTTCCTTGCTGAGCCTTGTAATAATGACTTCCTGGCATCTAGCCCATGCCTCTTGGCACCTGCCACTGCCACCGTGAGGCGCTCAACCCACACAGCATCCTATCTTCCAGAGGGACCACGCTGAGCAACTCCAGGTGGGTCCAGGCTTCCTCCTCCCACACTTTGGCCTTGTGCTCCCATCACAGTTCAGCTCATCTTGGGCTTCCAGGAGTCTGGAAGGGAAGCTGAGGTGTTTAGAGCTGTGTCAGCTCATGGGCTCCTGCTGCTTGCTTAGATCTCTCCCAAGGCTGGCTGCTCAGCTGTCTATACCACCCACAATGATGTCCCCTTCCCTGCCCATCTCTCCCCCTCCACTCCCTTCCATCTTCTGCCGATATCTCAAGTTCCTTTCTACTATTTCCATCCAAGAGCTGCATGTGCCCTGTAGAAATACAGATCTCCCAGGAACGTTGTCACCTGGGAGAGTTTGTCAATGTCACAGCCCTCACTGATGAGAGGTGAGCTGCATTCAGGCTCTGCTGTGGTACCTGACACCACAGAGCACAGAAAACTGCAAGGGTTGGATGGATGTCCTTCAGGGCAGTAAACAACTTCCAGACTCCCAGGCAAGGCAGAGGCTTGTTCGAAATTTAAGGTTGTTTGCTCACCCTCCCCCCAATTGAACATGATTTGGTGGGGTGTAAACTTAGCATAGTGGAAGCCTTCAGGAGTGCAGACACTGGTTGGGGATATATTTGACCCCACAACTATCAGAGACGAGCCCATTTTCAGATACCATGTTTTCATACTCATCCACATTAAACTTGATGAAGCCCTACTTCTTAGAGATGTGAACCTTGGCAGCCAGGGAACTTGAACTTGGCTCTATGCAGCGTCTTTATCACATGTTCCTTATTCCACAGCTTGGTGCAAATGGACAAGATAAGCTGGCTAATGTGAAGCCTAGCCACTCTGCCCTGGGCTTCCCAAAGGCACCTACATAAATGTCTGGAGCCTAGGTTACGTACACCATTGAGATCCGACATCAATATCCACCAGAAAACGGTTTCCAAGGTCCCTTGGGAAACCCAAATAAACAATGGGCTGCATGTGCTCCCACGAAGGCTACTATTTTCCCGTTGCACATCAGGCCCCTAACAGGAAAGAAACCTGGTCAGGTTAGTTGGTTGCAGGTTAATTGCCATTCCCACCAAAAACAGGGGAGCAGGAGAGAAGCCACAGCATGAGCAAGTCTCCACGTGAGGAAAAGCTGGATGCTGAGAGCGCCATGACCCCATCCTCGATTTATCTCCCATTTCCATGCCAATGCCCCAGGCAGAAACCTTGAATTCCATCGGAAGTCTGGAGCAGAACTCTCCCCACAAGCTTTCAGAATTTTAAAACCCAGACCTGGGTGGGTAGAGCCTGGGGAGGAGAGGGCTAACTGACTTCCGATGGAAAGCAAGGTTCCTGCCTGGGGCATAGGCCTGGAAGTGGCATCTGTCCTATCACAACTCATGGGGGCTGTTGGTGGGAATGGATTTTTTAAAGGATGTTTAGCTAAGAACTTGCTCTTAGGAAGATGAGCTGGCCTATGTCCTGGGCTGCTAGGCCCCACATGGGGCAGCACCTGAAAAGTGTTTGCACCCCAATAGGTCTCTCTGCCAATGCAGCAATCCAAATCAGACAAAATCAGACCGAATTAGAAAAAGGCCCAGTTTAATGGGTAAAGCGTCCCCAGGTGATTCTCCAGCTCCACAGAGAGGAGACAGGAAAATCACGTATCTGTTTTCTCAGGTGCAGTTTAAATACCCTATGGGAGTGGTCTTGAGCCTCTCTGGGGGAGGAGCTGTGTTTGGCAGGCTTTGAGGGGGCGGGTTTGGGGAAAGAGATGGGAGAGGGGCGTTGAGGTGGACCTTCCACCAGAACATTCCAGACTCTTGGGTATATGGGTGCCAGGGGCTGAGGTGGACCTTCCACCAGAACAGCACCCTGTTGTGTTTTGACCCCAAATGGCAGCCTTCACATTGAGTAGCTTCCACCCTGGTGTAAGCAGTGAAACAACTATTCTCATTAAACTGATGCCAGATTCTGACTAACTCTGCTGCCTGTACCCCAAACACCGGCTCAGTGAGATATCCTCACTGGTCACATCACTTCTGACTGTAGAGGACCCTTCCCTAGTGTTGTACCCGGAGTCCCCCAGAGACCACCAAGAGACCAAATCCGATGCAAAAGCAAAGAGCCTTTTTATTGTTTTCAAGTTAACCCGGGTCTCTCCGTCCATCTGTCTGACGCAGCAGCAGAGCAGGAGAGACCCTGAGTAGCAATGAAGCAGGGTTTCTATAATGGTTAGGGTAGGGGGTCTGGGGATTCCAACTCTATGTAGTTACAAGCTCAGGACTGGTGCTTCCTTCAGGTTAGAGACGCTTGGCTTGAACTGACTGGAGAGTTGCAGCTGCAAGGCAATGGCCACCGCCTCTAGCAGTTTATGTCATCACATCCATATCATCAGCAAACCATTTTCTCTGACAATTAGACGTCCCATTTCTTATCTGCAGGAAACTTGCTCCCTCTGACAGCTATGGCATACAATCTATCATGTCCTTTAGGTGATGGCAGGAAATATCTGGAACTCACTTTTTATGTGATCTCAATTGTCTGGGTCTAGGGGCAGCACATCCTCTGGTGGGTCTCCCCGGGCCTGTGGCCCCCAGTCTGACCCTTCCCTAAGATGGCTGCAACCCTGTCATCCTCTCACCTAGAGCAGAGGAAAACAATGGGCCAAGGCTAAGCTTAGTTTATTATTTCGTGCGCAGGTCGTAGACCACCTCTGGTCGAGGGAAAGAACGTGCACCACCCAGATCTCCTGTCTGCAAAGACCCCTGAACATTTTGGCGTTTTATGCAAAACCAGGAGATGGGTGCTTGTGCAAGGCAACTGTAGGATGGGCGGAGCGCCATGGGCGTAGTGTGCATCTGTAGTCATGTTTCATCTATCTCTTCATCGCCTTCTCTCTACCTGTCAGTCAGTCCTGCTGTTCACACCTCCACTGCTGGAGTGGATCCAGGGCCCAGCCCTCCCTTACGGTCCTGCTTACTCCCTCCCATGTCCCCTCTTACTTATCCTTCCTTCTTCCAGACTGAAACTGCTTAAGCAATGCGTTATGAGCCTTCCATGGTGTCCCCTTGTCCTGCCTGTCCTTGGGGGTCACAGGCTACCTGTGTATCAAAGAGCGGAGATGGCCCTGGGCCAAGAGAGGACCTTGCTGGACAAAGTAAGAAGACAAGGGGGGGCTGCTTTCCCAAGAGGGGTCACTTCTGTTCACAGGAATGCTGCAGAGGAAGAGTGGAGTCCCAGCAGGGAGCAGCTGGGACCACGGGGCAGCAGCCCCTCCCGCACCAACACAGGGTCTTGCATGACCCACACTCTGCTCCCATTTGCTCTGGGCCAGTGGGCAGGCTACTTACCTCTCGGAGAAATGGGAGTTATTATAGTTGTGCTCACAACCAGGTGCAAGAGACCGAAGCTTTTCAGGCAGAAGTCAGGGAAGCAGGCACGGGGCTGGGTGACCTAAAGGAGTGGGGGGGCGGGGGGGAAGCACCACCACCACCACCACCGCAACAGGTTGCTCCCGCTATGACTAGCAGGGGGCAGGCAGACGGCCAATTTTAATGAGAAAAGTGAGCATAAAGGGACGTGGGTCTGTTTTCGGACACATAGTTGATGATTTCTGAAGAAATGAGGTGCGCACCAGCTCCAGTGGGAAACCGGTAACTAAGCCATGTCCACTGACTTAAGGAAACATCCTCTCGCCAGGTTGCCTTGTTCATAAATTATGTACATGTCATTTGGTTATTTTTTAAATATATATAAGATATAGGGTCTTGTTGTGGGTATTTGGTTTTACAAATTACACACCACTCTACATTTCTGCTCTGTAGCCATGAGGTTTGGGAGGTCTGTTCCTGGGCCCTGGCTTCTGGCCTTGCGTCTGGAAGTCATAACCCTGAGTTTTAACTGTCCTGACCAGAGAGATCTGCAGAGTCTGGTGAAGCTCCTCTTCAAAAGCGGGGCCAGGAGGACCTGGACTCCAGCCCAGCTCCAGCCTGAGGCACAGTCAACTCCAGAGCTTCATTTCCTGTCTGCTGAGAACATCATGACTGCCCTGAATTCCGGCTCTGCTTTTTTCCCTTATCTGCGAGCAGGAGCACTGGCCTGCAGTGAATTCCTGTGGTGTGAGGGTGGCTGGCTGCTCAGGCCAGAAACCAAGCTCTGGTTCACCTGTACGAACTGGAGCTTTGAGAAGAACCATAGAGCCGAGGGCAGCTTATAGGTAGAATGTGGGTTTAGCACACTCAAGGCCCTTGCTTCTAATCCCAGCACCAAAAAGGATCATGGGCAACACCCCCTCCCTCCACTTGTAAAAATGTTTATTGGAGGACAGAAAGATTATAAATCACCGTTAATCTCACCACCCAGAAAAAAGACCTTTTATAATATCTTTTCAGAATTAATTCTATTCAAGGATATACATATACACATGTTGAGGTGGGGGTGATAGGTGTATATTGTATTAGAATTTTCTTTCTTTCTTTCTTTCTTTTTTTTTTCTGGACAGGGTTTCTCTGTGTAGTTTTGGTGCCTCTCCTGGATCTCGCTCTGTAGACCATGCTGGTCTCAAAGTCACAGGCTGGCTCTGCCTCTCAAGTGCTGGGATTAAAGGTGTGTGCCACTGCCTCCCAGCCTATAATTTTCTTTTTTAAAAGGTTCATGTTCTGGTGGAAGTTCCGCCTCAATCCCCCTCCCCCATCTCTCTCTCCCCAAACCCTGCATCATCTCAGAAAGATTGCCAAACACGGCCCCTCCCCCAGAGGTGCTCAAGGCCACTCCCACAGGGTATTTAAACTGCCCTCCAGAAAACAGAGGTGTGGTTTTTCGGTCTCTCTTCCCAAGCTCCTCTGTCCTCTGGTGTGTGTGTGTGTGTGTGTGTGTGTTGTGTGTGTGTGTGTGTGTGTGTGTGTGTGTGTGTGTGTGTGTGTGTAATTTGGTCTGATTAGGTCTGATTTGGATTGCTGTGTCAGCGGAGAGACTTAATAGCAGTGGAGTGAGGAAACTTTTCAGTTCATTTTATGGTTAATTGTGTATATGTCTGTCTCTCTCTCTCTCTGTGTGTGTGTGTGTGTGTGTGTGTGTGTGTGTGTGTGTGTGTGTGTACACCCACAGAGGCAAGGAGGACATCAGATCCTCTGGAACAAGCAGTTGTGGGTTGCCAAGTATGGGTGCAGGGAATTGAACTTGGGTCCTCTGCAAGTGTCTTTAAAATATGCAAATAGTCTTTTAATATGATTAAGAAGCCTCCCATACTGGGGCTGGAGAGATGGCTCAGTGGTTAAGAGCACTGGCTGTTCTTCCAGAGAACCCAGGTTCAATTCCCAGCCCCACACAGCAGCTCACAACTATCTCTAACTCCAGTTTCAGGGGATGACACCTTCGTACCAACACATATAAAATCAAGTTAAATAAATTATTTTTTAAAAAGCCTCTCATAATGGCAACTAACTCCAGGATTTATCCTGTATAGAATCATATATACTTATCCTGTATAGCATCCTACGTAGAATATCCACTCCTGAAAATGAAATGTGTGAGGGGTGGGGTGGGGTGTAGCCAGGTGGTGAAGGGCTTGTCTCGCAGGCAAAAGGCCCCAGCTTCGCCCACAAACTATGCAGTAACATTCTTATGGAAAATCTCCCTGCTCTTCTGTGATACTTTCCTTCAGATGTACTATTGGAGGCAGAGTCTCCCGGTTAACGACTTTGAGACTCAATGTCAAATTGTACTGATTCTTACCCACCAGCAAAAGCTCACTAGCAATGAGTGTCATTTACTAATTTTTTTTATCTTACTACTATGTTCCCAATTATAAATAAGTTACTCTGACATGTACTTTTATTGCTTATAAAACTAAATTGTTTTTATGTGTTGATGGGTCACTGGTTTTCCTTTTGTGAGTGGTCCATATTCTTCACTGATTTGAGTGGTTTGAACTTCCTCCCCTCATCATTATACTTCTCATGTAATAATATAATTCTTTACCACATCCATTAAAAATATTTTCCAGTTTGCTAGTTCCCTTCTAATTTTTTTTCCACATTAAAAGGATCTTTGTTTTGTCCCAAACCAAGAGACA